CTGATATGTAAAAAAAATCGGTGTTTTTCAATTCGCAATTTTAACCACTACTTGTTAAATTGTTGTCATTAAATAAAATTAAACAGAGAAAAGTGTCCAATGATAAAAACGGAAGCTCAAAACATTATTCACGTGATTTGCCCGAACAAATCCAAAGATCAATTATAAAATTTTATGAAGAGTTTAGAGGTACTGCTCCTTCCTTGCCTACCCTAACCTTATCCTTTATCCCGTAGAGCCCTAGAGCCTTACTCACCCATAGATTAGATACACAACACCAATAATTTCAGCAATGAAGTATCTATTCTCTTGTAAGCTGGAGAAAACTTCACAAGGCGAGAGCTTTAATTCCACTGGTCGCATACGCAGATTATTTGCAATGCAATGCTATGTAACAGGAGCTCGATGGTTAGTGTCTCCGATCGTTAAAATAAAGAAATTTGACAACGGCCTGTCATAGAAAGCATGACCAAGAATTTATTATTCCTCATTGAGACGTTGGTCCAAGCTTCATCATTCTGCTCTCTTTAGCCGCTATAAGTAGCGGCAAACTTCTTGAGCAAAACAACACAGACAAATAAACTTGCGCAATAGAAGTTTTTGTATGTTGTTATTGCGCGGGCTTCCTTGTCTATGTTCGTTGCTTAAAAAGTTTGCCGGGGTGTTTACCAATCCACCCAACCTCTCTATTTCATCCATAGGGCAGCCTTGCATCCGAGCGATAGGGACACTAATAAACTGATGATCATGTAAATGACACAACTATTAACAAGAACACACTAAATGCATTTTTACATTCGCGACGTGTTCACTAAATTGTTTCGCAGTTTATCGGTTTTCAGATGAAACTGAGTGATTTGGAACATTCGCGCATCGTATGTAATAGTAACATAGGTACAATGTACGCTGAAAAGTGCACGAGCACGGACACTCGATTCTTTTTTTTTTTTTTTTTTTTTTTATAGTTAGGTCCGACAAATGACTCCACCCCACCTGATGTTAAGTGAAGGTGAAGTCCAGACGCGAAGATAGCTGATACAGCAGTTCTACCTGCCACACCAGCCATCCTCACCCTGCCGGCCTGCATGCTGCTTCACGCCTCTTTTAAAGGATCCCAGGTTGTAAGAGGGAGGGAACACGTGAGCGGGCAGAGCATTCCATTTACGGATAGTGCGACAAAGAAATGAGTCACCAAATTTCTTTGTACGCGTTGGAATTGTGGCCACAGTAAAACGGTGACAACGTAGGCCAGCGCGCGTGGTCCTCTGAAGGAAAGGGGAAGGTGGGATAAGAGAGAATAACTCCTCAGAACACTCGCCGTGGTACAAACGATAGAACGCGCTTAGTGACGCCACGTCACGGCGTAATTGAAGAGGCTCAAGGTGTTTAGTCACCTCCTCATAGCCTATGATGCGGATCGCGCGCCGCTGTAACCTATCCAAAGCATCGAGCAAGTACTTGGCGGAGCCATCCCAGAGGTGCGAGCAATATTCCACGCAGGACCGCACTTGCGTTTTGTACAACAAGCACAGTTGATCGGGCGTGAAAAAACGCCGCACCTTGTTCAGGACTCCGAGTTTGCGTGAAGCTGTTTTGATCACGGTTTCGATGTAGTCCTTTGGATTCAGGTCTGAGCGAACTTCCATACCGAGCATGGAAATGTTGCTCTGCAGCGGTAGTGTTGTGCCCTGAAGAGATGGAAGGGGAAGGAATGGCGATGTTTTTGCCGTGAAAGCGCAAGCCTGAGTTTTCTTGGCATTGAACCCAACCAAGTTCCTGGTACCCCATTCGGAAATGTGTTCCAAAGCCTGATTGAGTTCAATGACAAGATTTTCCCGTTTCTCCCTGGTTACTGCATGCCCAGCCGCTGCTTGTCCGAGATACCCCGCATGCACTGTACTATCGTCTGCATAGCAATGAATATTCCCAAGAGGAATCAGGTCATTGATATGCAGCAGAAAGAGAGTGGGGGATAGGACGGAGCCCTGGGGAACGCCGGCATTCACTGACATGAACCGCGAACTGCTACCATCCGTAAGGACACGAATTCTACGCTCATGCAGGAAGTCAGCTACCCAAGAACAGAACTGGGCTGGCAGACCGTATGCCGGAAGCTTGGAGAGAAGGCTTTTGTGCCAGACCCTGTCGAACGCCTTGGCAATGTCAAGGCTGATAGCCAACGACTCGCCACGCTTGTCGATAGCCTCACCCCAGATATGAGTTAAGTACGCTAGAAGATCACCCGTCGATCGTTTCGGTCTAAATCCATATTGACGATCATTAATCAGGGAGTGATCCTCTAGGTAGCGGGTCAGATGGTTATTAAGGACCTTTTCTAGAACTTTACATAAAACTGAGGTGACTGCTATTGGCCGATAGTTTGCCGGGTCCGAGCGATCCCCTTTTTTGGGTACCGGTTGCACGTTAGCATCTCTCCAAGTCTCCGGCAAACGCCCCAAAGAATACGAGCATTGGTACAAGCGCGTGAGCACGGGACACAACTCCGCTGCACATTTTTTAAGTACTACTGCTGGGATGCCATCAGGTCCACTAGCTTTCCGGACGTCGAGTGATTGCAACTCGGCACGAACCTCACGCTGCCTGATTTTAATATCAGGCATCGTTGTGCCACAGTGAGGTAATGATGGTGGCAGTGCATTGCAATCATCGATTCGGGAGTTAGCCGCAAAGAGTTTTGCCAGTAAATCGGCTTTCTCCTGCGGCTTATGAGCTAGTGTTCCGTCTGGGCATCTCAGAGGTGGCAGCGAGGGCTGGCAGAAGTTTTTTTGCACGGCCTTAGCCAAACGCCAGTAGCTACGGGAGCCCGCAGGATGCGTTATAAGTTCCTGGCCAACACGTGCAACACGCTGGGCATCCGCTCTGATGTAAGCCTTCTTACAGGCCTTGGAAGCAGAATTGTAGGCTGCTTTGAGTGAATCGACCCCGGGATCCTTGAGAGCGCGGCCTCTGATCCAAGCACGATATGCCGCTTGCTTACGCGAAGCAGCTTCAGCACAGTCGTGATTGAACCAGAGGTTACGTGTGCCCTTACTGATGAGATCAGAATGAGGAATATAGTATTCCATACCCATTATGATCTCCTCAGTAATGGCAACGGCACTGCCCGATAGGTCCCTGTCACTGAAGCAGCGCTGCTTCCAAGGGACGGACGCAAAGTAATCACGCATACCGTCCCAATCTGCCGACCCATAATGCCAGATTCGGCGCTTGACCACTGCTGGACGCGGAGGCTTGGCCTGTGGTGCTTTGGCGGATATCAGGCAGTGGTCGGACGAGCCCAGGGGGGCTCTTACCACAACCTGATAGCCCTGTGGATGGGTCGTGAGCAGAAGGTCCAGTAAAGAAGGCGCTTGACTTGGAATATCTGGGATCCTGGTGGGCTGATCAACCAGTTGCTTCAAGTCATGCGTGAGAGCGAATGTGTGAGCAGAGATCCCTGCATGGTCAGTTTTGGAAGAACTTAACCACAAATTGTGGTGAGCATTAAAGTCCCCCAAAAACACCAATTCTGCATTGGGAAATCGCTCCTGCGCGTCATCTGCTGCCCGACTAAGGTGTTCAAAAAGTCGAGTTGTCTCAACATCGCCGGTGTGGGATCTGTAGAGGCACACGTAGACTCTGGCCCGGGGGCCAGAGTCGACGTGTACCCCCAGCATGGAGAAGGAGGGATCTTCCAAGCAGCGGAGACGGCGACAACAAACATCCGCCCGAACATACAGGCATACACCGGCTTTCGCTTTGAAGGACTCTTCAAGCACGTAGCCGGGATAATTAAGGTAGCCTGTGTCAGCAGGCGGAAGTATTTGTGTCTCCGTCAGGAACAACAATGCTGGCCGTGCTGTCTCGAGATGGTGGTGGACAGCGTTGAGGTTAGAGTGGAGTCCGCGTATGTTGCAGAACTCGACCTCAAACAGCGTTGAAGGCGTGGGGGTGTGCACCGCTGTACGTCCAAACTTTGTTTTTGAGGCTGCCATGGTGGAAGTGAAAAAAAAAGAGACGCGAAAACGAGCGGACGCCGTCGCGAAGAGTCCGGGCAAATAAGGGGGGTTTGTCTTCCCGATTGACTGCCTGCAGTGGAGATGCGCCGACCCGCCGGACGGAAGGGCCCCCGCACCCCCCCGGAAGTGGCCGCCGGGACCCCACGCCCCGGTCACCAACCGGCACGACGGTCCACCCCGAGATTATGCGTGACATGATGGGGCAGCCTCGCGAACTGGTTAGGAACGCTTGGGCCCCTGTACTGTGCCACGGGCGGCCAGCGGGACAGCCGTTTCTACGGGTCTCCCTGGCCGACGGGTCGATGCAGTCCTCCCGGCATCGGTTCCACGGATGCCTCCCCTGGACCGAATCCTTCGCGACAACTTCCACTCGAGCTCTGGTTGTACGCTGGCTGACCCCGAAACGCGCGAGAAGCACTTCACGGGTTTTTCACCATGCGCACGGTGGTAACAAACCAGGCGGGTGTTAGGCACCCTACCACCAGAAGAGCGGATGGAAGCTCCGACATCCCTTAGTCGCTTCTTACGACACCCACGGGAAGAAAAGGGGCGGTGAGTTGTATTCTTTCTCCGTCACCGCACGGATAAAATTCGAATCTTTGATTATTTATACACCTAGTTTTTTTTTTGTTAAAAGGGGGGCAAACAAATATATGGCCTACCTGATGGTAGGTGGCCACAATAGCCTATAAAATGCAAAAATGATTGCAATATTGAAAATATCACTTACACCGTTGTCTACCCTGACCCAATCCCCCACTCTAATGTCATATTGTACTAAAGCAGTAAATGTGTGCCTGTGTAGCGACGAGCATATCTACCATATGTAGTAGATATTTTTGCGCCGCTTCCGTGCAGTTAATACTTTATGTAGGGTGTATATAATCAACGATTCGAACCTTATATTCATTGGTTTTTACATGTATTGCGTTTCAAACTCATACTCAACTATCATAAAACATAGTAGATCGAAAGTCCTACCTTGGTCGAACATGATGATCTCGACAGTGGAGTCCAGCCGCACGTTCTTCACATGGACGCATTCGTCGCCTTGCCCCTCGCCCTGGTGGCACAGCGAGCTGGGATTGACGTCACTACCCTGGGTGAGTAGGGGTGACGCCGGATATGTGAACCGGTGACCGTCCGTCTGACCCCAGCTCTCTGTAACCAAAAAGATTTTTTATGTTAAAAAGTGATTTGTAAAATATCTACGTGGAAATATGACCAAGAAAGTACATAAGTATAGCCAAAATATAGCTTTTATGGATTACTACACTTGAAAACGATAATAACTTTGTTGCTGCATATCTAATTGTTTTTTCGCTAACCCTTTTTCCATGATTTTGTATAGATGTTGAATAAATGTTTGTTTTTTTCTAATAAAAAAGGGAATAAACATGATGTAGTTTTATTATCTAATAGTGTTTGATGTTTTCAAAATAATGGTTAGTAAGTGAATAACTCAAATAAACACTGTACTATTTCAATATTTCTCGCATAACACCAATGATACTACAGAAAAAAGCCGTACATAAGTATTCGAAGCTCGCTTTCAATCGATACAAACCAATTACTAAAATCGCAAAGGCGGATGGATGGAAATTGCTGTGACGTTTATTGGGAGCCGAACCTCGATACGTAATAGAGTAGGTACAGCATATAAAATAATAACCTTTTCTCTTTAATACAGAATATAATGGAAAATTCATTTTCAATTTTACTGAATAGACGCTTCGCAACAAATTTTTGCTTCGGAGAAAATTATTTCAAAACACCTCTTAAATGTAAGAAGATAGTGTACAACAATATTAAACGCTTATCTAATATTCGTGTGAAAGATCAGTATTAGCGTAGGTATAATTTTATTTATTGTTATTATACCTAAGTGTTTATTATTAGATTGCGTAATTTATTGATATCGTTAGACTTTATACATTCAAGGTCACTTTTTTCTTCTAATACGCAGTCGCTGACTCATTGCTATAATACATATTTCCAATGCAAATAGAGTTAGTGTTTTTTATTGAATTCCTACCCCAAAACACGCACGCAATATGAACACTTTGATGTCTGTCCGTCTAACCGTCCGTCTTTCAGGACCCCTTTTCTTGAGAATATACTGTGTGAAGTTTATATAAATATTATCAAACTAACGGCCCGTCCTGCTTCACACGGGTGTATTAAATTATCAAATGTGGTCTACAATTAAGGTTACCTACTTTTTTTCTATCAAAAATGGTATTTTCGAAGCTGCATCTTAAAATATAGCAGATGACAAAAAATGGAAAAAATATAATACCTATGTAGTGAAAATATTTACTTTATATTTGAAATGAGTATATTTTTGCTGCTCTGTACTTCAGTTTTTGTTTTAAGAAAGCTTTTACTGGCAAAAGTCTGCTTTAAGCAAAATATAGTAGTTTCGCCTTCTATATATTTTTTCAGAAATATAGTATTTGTTCCCCTAATACAGTAGGATACCATATTAAATAGTAGGGTTGGCAACCCTATCTACAATCCTTTTCAGAGCAATGAAAAAATCACACTTGATCGCCTTCGTGTTAACCTAGAACCATGTTTGGAATAAATAATAAATATTTTTAACACTCACACCATTGAGCCTAGCCCCAAAATAAGCACTGTAAGGCTTGTATTATGGGATACTAGGGTAACGTATAGAATACATATATATCACATATATAAGTATATTTATATAGAAATACATATCAAACATCCATGACTGCAGTACAAATGCTCGTATTCATCACACAAACATCTGCCCCCACCGGGATTCGAACCCGGGACCTCCCGAGTCGGCATGTCCATGAATAAATCAATGAGGCCACAGGAATAGGAATAATAAATAAAAAAACCGTAAAAGATGTTGGTGGACCCGCGACTTATCCTTATTTTTTACAACAGTCTCCTGAAGAACATCAATAGGGATGATGACAAATTTTTATTTCTTCATTTATCAGGTAGATTATCAAAAAGTGTTGGACACGTATTTTTTCTTTTTTCACATAATATAAACATTGCAGAGATATATTGATATGAAAAGTCGCATGACGTCACGTTTTGGTACAATTTTCACTTAAAAGTGACGTCACGAGCCACTACTCCCAAACTTTGACACGCTATAACTTTGTCATTTTTTGGTTGATTGCCCAAAGAAAAAATACGTGTCCATTATTGTTTGATCATCTAACTGACGGACTAAATAGAATTTCGTTTACTGTACCCCGTCATCACCCCTATCGAATCTCTAAATAAGAGAGAGGAAATGATAATGAGTAACACGTTTTTATTTTGTTAACGTCCACTAATTCTATAACAGAAGACAAAAATAGAATTTTACATTTGCATGAAAACGTTATCATCACATCTATTCTCATTTTACTTTCGCTACCGTCTACCGTTCCAACATTAAAGAAGGTTCACCTTTTTTGTATCACTAAATTTAGTTAATTTGGCTACTTTTGAACGCAGTTAGACACGCTCTACAAAGCACTGACGAACGGTAGCGGCGGCTAGGGTTGCCAGATCGGCTGGATTCTCCCCACATTTCATTTGATATGCAGACTAACGACAAGTGACGAAATCGCCTGACAAACTGACATGACGATTCACTTACGACTCTGAAAATTCTACATGAGACGTGGGGATAAACTGTCCTTTCTCGTCACTGTCACTTTCGGCTCGAACAAGAACCCCCTTGTTAATAAACAAATAATAAGTTTTTTTTATGTTATAGGGGGCATACGAGCAGACGGCTCACCTGATGGTAAGTGATCACCGTCGCCCATGGACACTTGCAACACCAGGAGTATCACAAATGCGATGCCGGCCTTTAAGGAAGGAGTACGCTCTTTTTTTGAAGGTTTTTGGGTCGTATTGGTCGGGAAACACTGCTGGCGACAATATATTGTTAGTTTTGTCGTACGTGGTAAAAAATTTCGACAAAAACACATGGTTGTGGATAGCCACGCATCAAGATGATGGGGATGAAATTTTTGTCGCGATGTACGATGGCGAAATGTAGCAGCTGGAATTAATCCGAACAATTCCTCAGAACACTCCCCGTGATAAATGCGATAGAAGATGTATACCGAAAACGCAAAGCCAAAGGATTAAGCTGATCGGAAAGGTCCTGGTCGTCGACGATTCGAGCCGCTCGGCGCTGGATGCGATCCAAAGGGAGAAGCTGGTACTGGGATGCCCCCGCCCAAAGTTGAGAGCAGTACTCCATGTGAGGCCGAACCTGTGCCTTATAAAGTTGCAGTCGGTGAGCCGGTGTGACTTAGACTAGTTACGCCATGTTTTGTTCATGTCACTCAATTGCTATTCGTCATTCAATAAACAGAGAAAAAACATGGAGTAACTAATCCAAGCGTAGTCTTCGTTTATTAATAAGGGGAGAGGCGTCCAACGAGGAGAGGGGGCATATGATTCTCCCGAAAACTTTACCAAAATCCCGAAATTTTAAAATATTATCCACATATTATGACTTTTCGATCTAGCAACCCTAGCGGCGACGGACAACGGGTGGCAGCAACGCTCTTCGTTACCAAATCATTAAGTACTTTCGCTGCTTTTTCGATTGATACTCGAATTAATCCCGCAGGACAGAAAGTTTATTTACGGCCGGCTGCCCAGACTTTATCGATAAAGAGTTTCGAGCGATTTATTTGACCATTGGATTAAGCGCTGCCCTTTCAAATGGTCCCTCTGGTAGCTCGAATGCACCGATAGATGCATGATGATCGCTATATATTACAAGTAGGTACGTTTTTTCTAAATATAATGCTACCTAATGGTACTAAGCCGACAAAAGAACAAAACGAGCACAAATGAAGTTTCAGTGCTTGAACATACAAAACGAAGTAAATCACGCTAAATATTTTAAATCACAATCGAGCAACGAGTAAATCAACGATAAAGTGTTTAATTTATCACTAACTGGTTTCAAGATTTTAAATATTTATCAGTTCTTTATATATTTATTTTTAAGCATTTAACTGCTAGATGTTTAAATATAAAAGCCTAAGATATACTAGAAGAAATTCGACACGGTCATTAAGGTCGTCGTAGCATAATTAGTCAGTGCATCCACTCGGATAGCGAAGAGATAGGGGTTCGAGCACAAAATAGGACTGTGTACTTTTTGATAAAAATCAATGGACATTTGTTTCTTTATTGTTTTATTATTATTTTATATTAATAAATTTACGCATTTAAAACATAAAAGAGAAAAAAACGTTGAAAATCAAATTAAATGATACATATTATTAACTGAGCAGATGTTTTATTTACATACATTAACTGCTACATATAAAACGATTCCGATATTCTCATGAACATAAACATTTCTAAAGTTAAAGGAGATCTTTCTTGGAATTGAAATTGGTCTCATGAAGTAATGAACCGTTGCTTTCCTTTTAGAATCGTTTACTTATCTTCGTTTTTGTGAACACTGTCATACATAATAATAATACTGATACAAGATAAAGTTTGTTAACAAATAAAATGACTGCCCGGCCATGGGGCATAAATAAATAAATATTTCCAACACTCACACCAATTAGCCTAGCCCCAAAGTAAGCACTGTAAGGCTTGTGTTATGGGAAGCTAGGGTAACGGATAAATTACGTATACTGTACATATATAAGTATATTTATATAGAAATAACTATTAAACATCCATCACTGAAGTACAAATGCTCGTATTCATCACATAAACATCTGCCCCCACCGGGATTCGAACCCGGGACCTGTCGAGTCGGTGACACTATGAAACCCGGCGTACAAACCACTCGGCCACGGAGGTTGTGAAAATAAAACGTGTATACCTTGTAGGCATCACAGAACTTTTGTCATAATATTATCATGCATATCAGCGGATGGCATCATCTTAATTCCGCAGAAAAACATTTGGCATTCACTTATTTCTCAGACATTCAAGCCAGAATCACCTTTAGGGGTAAATTTTAATATCCACAATAATCAAAAAACAGAGCCATCATATAGCAAAAAGATCACGGCCAAAACCGTCTTTTGGCATACAAATAATTATTTAACTTTCCTTGCTTTATTTATCTATTTTACTTCTTATTCTATAATCATAAAATAAGAAGTAAGAAAAAGTAGTTTAATATAATTGGA